ATATTTCCCTGTGCTATACAGTATAAACTTGTTTATCTCTTCGATATAAACCTGTCAGCATCTACACATGTGGTGTAGATTTTAAAATTAGATTGTAAAGTTAAGTTGGAAATGAGATGTAAAGCTGTTGGAGGGTTTGCTGTATGAGCAAGTTGGAAAGCTCTTACTGTGTCAGCTGTCACTCAAGCGGCTGTGCTGATGTGTTCGTTGCAGGAACCGGCTTTACAGTCGATGCCTTTCAGTATGGACACGTTGAAGGTTGCACAGCCTATTTCCTCACACATTTTCATTCTGACCATTATGCTGGATTGTCTAAAAACTTCACGTTTCCAGTTTATTGTAGTGAGGTAAGTTTTAGTATTCTAAAATTCTGAATTGGGAGAATGCAGCTAATTTCTAAGCAATTCTGGTATAAAAAGAATAATTAAAATCATCAGACCCATCACTCTTCCTAGAAAAGATACGACAAAACTGATTCCACATTGAGACCTAAAGTTAAATGAGTTGTTGTCAATAGTTACAACAGATTTTTTGAAGTTTGCTTCATTATGTGAAAACAGTAGATAAACCACATCACGACGTACTAAAACCCCTAAGTTTCATTCAGTAAACATTTATTGAGTGCCTAAAAAAGCGATTCAAGGCAAAACCCCTAACTTTTAGGAGCTTACAACCGTCAGGAGACACATTCACAGATAGGACCCTGATGGGATCAGTAGAAAAGTGAACAGAATGCCTAGAAGTAGAGAGAAGGGGTTTTACTCTGTCCCAGGCTAAGGTTAGAGAAAGTTTCATGGTGAAAGAGATAACCTTGAATTAATTATTAAAAGGTAAGTACTTTAATGCCTACTACTGAGGGCTTTGGCTGGAACTTGATTTAACCCTCAAGATTTCTTCCATCGTCCTCTTTTTATTAATGAAGTAACTGAAGTTGGGAGAAGTTGAGTGGTATGCCCCAAGTCCCAGAGCCAGAATTTGAATGCAGGTCAGTCTGATTCCAGAACCATTCCAGGTGGAGAGAGGAGCTTGTGTAAAGGCACACACACCTAGGAAGCACGCCTGTTCCAGGGACTCCAGGTAATTCAGAGTGGCTCCACACAAGACAGGGAATAACAGGCGATAAACCACAGAAACGGGCAGGGGCCAGATCACAAAGGCTTTTGTGTGTCGTGCCAGGGATGATGGACTTTTCACAAGTGAGTGACAGTCAGAGACAAGTGTTTAAGCAGAGTTGTGACACAGTCATTTTAGAAGTTCCTCCCGGCATTCTGGAGGGTTTATGTGAATATAAGTGGGCGAACAGGGAGATCACCAAGATGCTTGTGTTCTAAACTAGATATGAAATAAAAGGCTTATTTAGTGTTTTAATGTATCCATAATAAGCACATCCTGTTTTGCAGATAACTGGCAATTTGGTGAAGAGCAAACTTCGTGTGCAAGAACAGTATATCCATGCATTGCCAATAGATACTGAATGTATAGTGAATGGTGTCAAAATTATTTTGCTAGATGCCAATCAGTGAGTATTAAAGTTCCCTTATTAATAGCCTATTTTTAAATATTCAAAAGGAAAACACATTGGCTTAGTTATTTAAGAACTTTTTTATTGAACTATTATGCTTCATATTTCTTAAAACTTGAGTAAAACATGCTTCTCCTTTTGAAAAAAAAATAATGTACCCAATTGCAGAATCAAAGATTAAATGTAGAGAGATTTTCTTGTTATCTAATTCACTTGTAAAGCAGTTTAAATTACTGGGCTTCACATGACTCCCATCTTATTTTTTGCCATTGTGCCATTTTCTTTAATATCACTTACATAAATTAACAGCTTGTACTCCATTCAGATACTAGAGGGGTTATTTTGTTTTTTGCCTTTGAAGAAAGCCTTCAGAAGTTTGATACCAAAGACTGGGAAGATTTTTTTCCTTGGAAATTGTTTCTTTTTCCCTCACATTTTTTTTTAATGTAAAGTATTGTCAGTATTCACGATGCCAGAATGTAACCATCACCTATGCCTCTTTCCACTTTTCATAGAACGTTAGCCTTATGTACCATAGAGATCATAGATGCCTAGAGAATTAAAATTAAGACTAAATCTAGGTCTCCTAAAATCCAGGCCAGCGCTGTTTCTTCAGGTTGTCTGTAAGTTTTTGTCCGCTAACTTTGCTGCTGTTTCTTTTTTTAATAACCAATTATGACAACTCAAGTTCTGATTTTTTTTTAGTCAATTTGAGGTATCATTTGCATAAATAAAATGCACCCATTTTAAGTGTTTGCTGAATTTTGACAAAAGCTCACACCCATGCAATTCCTTCCACAGTAAAAATAAAGAAAGTTTTCCCCACCCCAGAAGGCTTCCTTGTGCCCCTCCCAGTTAGTCCCCAACCCCTACTCTGACCTAGGAAGTTACTGGTTTGTTTTCCGTCACTACTGGTTAGATTTGTCTCTCCTAGGATTCATTTACGTGAAATCATATTAGTATCCACTCTTTTGTGTCTGGCTTCTGTCCCGCATCATGTTTCTGAGATTCATCCATGCTGTTGTGTGTTCCTCTTCATCGCTGAGTAGTAGCTATCGTAAACAGACGGTACAGTCATTTTATCCGTTCACTTCTTGATGAACAACTGGTTTTTGTTTTTTGACTTTGTATCCTGAGACTTTGCTAAACTTGTTCATTAGTTGTAGTAGGTTGGCTTTGTAGGTTCTTGAAAATTTTCTACGTTTACAATCATGTCATCCACAAATAAAGACGGTTTCATTTTATTTCCTACTTTCCATTCAGAATGCTATTTTTCTCTCTTGTGTGTTGTCCTGGGTCAGAACTTCAGTACAATGTTGAATAGGATTGAATTGAGTTGGAAACATCTTGCCATTTTCTTTGTTTTGTTTTTTTGGGGGGAGTAATTATGTTTGTTTATTTATTTATTTATTTAATGGAGATACTGAGGTTGAACTCAGGACCTTGTGCATGCTGGGCACTCACTCACCACTGAGCTATGTCCAGCCCTTCTGTTTTCTTGATCTTAAGGGAAAATCTTTCAGTCTTTCTCCGTTAAGCACAATGTTAGTGGGTTTTTCATAGATGCCTTTTATCAGGTTGAGGAAAGTCCCCTCTATTCCTAGTCTGCTTGGAGTTTATAATCATGAATGGATGTTGAATTTTGTCAGATTTTTTTTTTGTCATCTACTGAGGTGAAAAAACAATTCTTCTCTGTAATATTAATGTGGTAAATGACAATGATGGACTTAATTGAATATTAAACCAGCTTTGCATTACTGGGGTCAATTCCACTTAGTTGTCATATATTACCCTTTTAAAAAATATATAGCTGGATTAAAAAAATTTTTTTTCAGGAATTTTTTTTTGGTGGGGGGTGATTAGGTTTATTTATTTATTTACCAGAGGTATTGGGGATTGAACCCAAGATCCTCTACCACTGAGCTATACCCTCTGCCCCACCCCGAGCTGGATTTGATACGCTAATATTTGGTTAAGGAATTTTGTGTCTTTTTCATAATGGATATTTATCTATAGGGTTTTTTTTAATAATGCTTTTGTCTGGTTTTGATATCAATGATGTCATGAAATATTACCCCCTCCTCTAGTTTCTGAAAGATGTCATGTAGTAATTGTTATTATTTCTTCCCTAAGTATTTGATAGAATTCCCCAGTGAAGTCATTGGGGTCTGAACTTTGGGGACAGGCAAGTAAGGGGAAATTTTTTCATTACAATTGTAATTATTTCTTATGTCCTCCTAGAATTCCAAATGAAAGTTCTCTGTGTTTTGACAGTAATTTTCAAACCCTGTTGTGTCAGGGGTCCCCAGTACCACCTTGAGGCTCAATGACTCACTAGAATGACTCACAGGACACAGAAAAGTTGCAATATTTGTGATTTTATTTTATCACAGTGAACAGACACAGATTAAAAGCAGCAAAGGGAAAAGGCTAGTGGGAGTGAATCTAGGAGAAACCAGACGCCAGTTTCCAGGTGTCCTCCTCTACTGAAATGGCCCAGTGTGCTTAATTCTCCCAGCAGCAGCGTGTAACAACACATGCGATGTGTGGCCAACTAGCTGAGCCTTGGTGTTCAGGGTTTTTATTGAGGTTCAGCCAAGTACACATGCAGCACCCATGTGACTGACCTTGGCTACTTGGACTCCAGTCCCCTAGAGCAAAAACAGATACTCTCCATGGATCACACTGTTAGCATCAACTATCTGATCAAAATAGTAACACGTGGCCCAATGCATTGGGCATACAAAACACTCCTAGCAGGCAGAATATTTCAAGGACTCAGAACTCACCTCCCAAGGACCAGCCAAGGAAGAGTCCTAAAGACAGGCCTTTCCTGGGGGCATGTGGAGTGTGAGCGGCCCTGGCCTGCTGATTAATCCTTTCGTGCACACCATTTTTCTGTGTCTGTGACATAAATGTCGTCGTGGTCAGCTAGTAACGTGTGTTAATTGGTTGATATTGCAGTGAGTATTCTCCCGTCAGATGCTTTGCCTGTATTAAGAATATTCCTTTGAAATGTTTGTGTTCAGCTGTCCAGGAGCCGTCATGATCCTTTTTCGTCTGCCTAATGGTCACGTCATATTACACACCGGAGACTTCAGAGCAGACCCCACCATGGAGCGTTCTCTTCTTGCAGACCATAGAGTCCACACACTGTACTTAGACACAACGTAAGAGAAGCTTTGTTTGTGTGCTTCCTTTTTTCCACTGGCAGCATTTGCCTGTATGGTATGAATAATTTGAGCTTTTGTACTTTCCACCAATCAAAATGATGGCTTATCAATCAATTATCATGTAAGTTTATTTGTCAGAGGAATGCTGTATGAAAAAATATATACTTGCTTAGGAACAGATTTGAGATTACGTGTCTTAACTGACTCCAGCTCAATGTTTTTGTAATATCCTTCTGAAAATATAGTGTATGTGAGAATCTTGTTACTAAAACAAGAAAGAAAAATTGGGGAGTAAACTTTAGGGAAATACTCATTAAAATTACCTGTTTAAAGTATCTGTGTAGCTATGCAGTATAATTGTGAAGAAAAAAAAAACAGAATGAGATTCTGTGTCTGATCTGAATATTCACAATTATTTTGCTCCTTTCTCCGCAAGATAATCTGTAAGTGACAACTTTAAATTCCCAAGTGCTATACGCATAAGCCATTTTCTTTTTATTATGTATTAAAATACCTCATCAACTTGTCAGAAATTATGTTAACTATTTCAAACTGTTTCAAGAAGGAAGTGAGTTTGGAGGGCATATTTTAGTAAAAGATGTCTTTTCACATCCATTTTTCTAACACTGTAGCTAATTTTCCATTCTTTTACATGTACCTTAAAATACCAGGTGAATTATGAAAACAATACTTTAAAAAAATTTTTTTGTTATTTAATTCTATTCTAAAAGCAACTCTGAATTTCCTGGTGAGTTTTTATAGGAGAAAGAACTAAGTTTTACCTGTCTTCCTATGACTGACCAGAAAAAAAATTTTGAAAATTAGGGAAAATTGATATTTTTTTGATGTTTGTACTTTATGACTTTTTTGGTAAAAAAAGTGCTTAATTTTCATCTCAAATATATGTGACAGTAGTCTTAGGGTTAATTTTTCATTGGGTGTTACTGTATTGAGGTAGTAGACCTACCTGAATCTTCTATATTCCTGTAATACTGTATATATTTCTGTATCTCCTAAGAGAAGATACCAAACATGTGAACATTAACTGATTTAAATCTACTTCACTAAATTCATGTTCAGTTTCATTCTTTTGAAATATATATATATTTTACTAAATAAGAATTCTTTAGTCTGAAGTTCACTGCATCCATAATATTTTCTTTGATAGGGATTGAAAGTTAAAAAAAAAAAAGAGAGATTTTAAAGTTTGTAATTCATAGCTAAAACAGCCAGCTAGCCAGAAAGTATTCCTGAAGGGGGAAAAAAAAAAGGCAGTTTCTTGGAGGGAGATAAAAGAAATACAATGAAGAAGGTATATTGAAAATGTATAATTCCATCATAAATAATCAATAGCTGGTGACAGATGTCTTACCCACAGGCCCTGGTGAGATAACTGTAGTGTGTTCATGTATCTTTACTGCTGTTGCATGTACTTTTGCTGAAGCTTGTTTTGTAAAATAGCATCCGACTTCGTGCCATGGCTTTCTTGTGGTTCTTTTAGTAAGAATCGTATTTCTTACAGGTATTGCAGCCCAGAATACACCTTTCCTTCTCAGCAAGAGGTTATCCAGTTTGCCATCAACACTGCCTTTGAGACTGTAACTCTAAACCCACGTGCTCTTGTTGTCTGTGGCACGTATTCTATTGGAAAAGAGAAAGTCTTTCTAGGTGGGTGGTAGCTGTATCTAATTTGCATTAATATATTATAAAGATCAGAATCTTTTTGCATAAAGCCCTTTCAGTCTCTGTTCTTGTACTTGATATTTATTTCCTGAAATGGTTCAATGTTACCTTTGAAGTTGAAGAAAAATTTGAGAGTTTGACTCGTTGAAACTTTGAAAGGCTTAGCTTAATGGAAACATTTGATAAATGTGTTTATGGTAGCCTTTGTATCTACAGGATGATTGTAGAGCAAAAGTCCGTGCTACATTAGGGTTTTAGTAAACTTTGAAAGATGACTAGTACATAGTTGTGTCACTGCATTCTTTGATGATAACCATCAGTTATTTTAAAGAACAGTTTTAATTTTTGTTCCTAAATGATTTTTGGATATGTAACTGTAGTTTATCTAGACAGTATCATACTATTGTATAAAATACTTTCCACTTTTTCTTAACTGTGGTCCCATAATGTCAAACATTAAGATTTAAAATGATAAAGCCAAGGTTTTAGCTCCTCTAAATTTGTTTTTTCCCCTCCCTTTACCCCTTTCCATACATTTTTTGCAATTTTTAAAAACTAAGTCTTTAAAAATAAATTCTTGGCTTTCTCACAATCTATTTCATGTAGTTAACAAAGAAAATTATTCTACCTTTTTGAGAAATATGGCAGAAGTATGAATGTTTTGAATTTCTTATTATTTGATAGATTTTTATTTTAAAGTTGAATGTTGCAATTTTTTTTTTCCTAAGCTGTAATTTTACTATTTTTAAACTATTCCTTTGTCTGTAGCCATTGCTGATGTTTTAGGTTCAAAAGTGGGAATGTCCAAAGAAAAATATAAAACATTACAGTGCCTCAATATACTGGAAATGAATTCTCTTATCACTACAGACATGTGCAATTCACTGGTTCACCTTCTCCCAATGATGCAAATTAATTTCAAGGTAAGCATTCAAAAGATACGTTTTTTTCAGGCTGAACTAGAAAAGACAGTTTACTTTCTTTTTTACTTTCATTTAACATTTAACTTAAAGGAATTCAGTTACAGTGGAGTCACCTATAGTAAAGTTTGCCATAGGAAATCTTTTAAACGGAATTTTAAATGTTTTAAGTTTTTGTATGTGTGCAGCTGTGTAGAGTAATTCATATGCCCACCAGGAGTTTAGGAACTAGAGAACAGTCATAGAGGAAGAAACAAAAACAGAAAAGTACGCAGCTCTCTGGTCATTCAAACCTTCTGTTACTAAGATTGTTTTCTACTTCTTCCTGGGAAATGAGTGGAGAATGCTACGGAGTTCTTTCTTTTTTTCATGTCTTTTCTTGAGGTCTGTTCTGTATTAATATTAGTATAACGCTGATACATGTTGGAAATATACTTGTTGGGAGGATTAAATGACATAGTGGAAATACATCTTAAGAGGAAGTTCTAGTGTTAGTTCTGAGGCATAAATTAAGATACATATGATGTGACCTTCCTGTGATTTGTGAGGGCTCGTTTGTCAGATTTATTCAGATACTAAGATTCCTTCCATTTACTAACATTTTGACACTTAGCAATGGAATACATCAAAACTGTATTTAAAACAATTCAGAACATAGTGTACACCAAAAAAATGTATTTTTACTTCTGTTATAATGTTTATGAAATAACTTTTGTGGAGCTTTTTGAAATAGCTTAGGGGTGTTGATTACTGTGTATGCCTTATAAATAGTAACACTTATGTTGCTTAAAGAAAATGAGTATTTTCGTTCTCTCCCTTGAGTAAGGAAATGCTAACTGGTATAACTACTCCTTTGTTCACGAGATTATGGTAAAATTTTTATGGCCTATTTTCATGGATATATAACTCATAAAATTTTCAAGACTAATCAAATCGTAGTGCTGTCCATTGGTGTTTAAGCCGGCTTCGCAAACATATTTTAAATTTCAGAGGCTCCAGTTTGCATGGAGGCTAATGAGAATGTTGACTGATCATCGAATGAACACGATATCCTGAGGAGGGTATAGCATATTTTTGTTATTTTTATTTTACAATCTTTTTTTCTACTAACTTAATTTGATTCGAACAAATTATCCATTTAGTGGGACAGTATGAGTGGGGAGTCAGAATATTGTGGAAATGAACAGATTAGACCTTTCCAGGCTTAAAGAGTGTTTAGAAGTGTCGTATGCTACAGAGAGAGCATTCAAGGAAACAGTGGCCTGCACGAGAACCCATTCAGTGAAGTGATGTTGGAGGAAGCCAGAGGCAGCAGAGGGCTAAGGAATGAACAAGAAGGTATGCAAGTAGTCAAATGAATGAGAAGATACACAAATGGCCAATAAGCACATGAAAAGAGAATCGACTCTGTTAGCCATCAGGGAACAGTAAATCACAGCCACAGTGAGATGCCACTTTACACTCACTAAGCCAGATAAGATAGACAGTGCCAATTGTTGGTGAGGATATGGAGAAACTGGAACCCCCGTTCATTGCTAATGAGATTATTAAGTGGTGCAGCCGCTTTAGAAAGCAGTTTGATCATTTCTTTAAAAGGTAAACATGGAATGACTATATGATCTGCAATTCCAATCCTAGGGATGTGCCCAAGAGAACTGAAAACATGTCCACATAAAATCTTCTACACAAATGTTCATAGCAGCATTATTCATGGTAGCAAAAAACTGGAAACAACTCAAATGTCCATCAAATGATGGATAGATAAACAAAAGGTGATGTATCCATAAAATAGAAATATTATTTGGCTGTAAAAAGGACTGAATTACTACTACATGCTACTTCTTCTGTGAATGAGCCTGGAGAACATGCCAAGTGAAAGAAGCCAAACATAAAATGCTACCTATTGTGTGATGCTGTTTGTATAAAATGTCCAGAATAGGTGAATCTGTGGAGAGAGTGAGGAGCTTAGTGGTTTCCAGGTCTCAGGGGAGAGGGAATGGGGAGTGACTGCTCATGGGTACAGTGGGGTTTTGGTTGAGGGGTTGATGAAAATGTTCTAAAATTAGGTAGTAATGATGGCCACACAACTTTGTGACCATGCCTACAACCACTCAACTGCACACTCTAAAAAAAACTGGCTGTTACTTACTTTAAAGACAAAAAAAAAGTATCTGAAATCATTAAGTCTTTATTATTTCCATTATTTGTCAAGTGTTGTTTGTAGTGTTCAGTAGCCCTTCCCCTGCCTCTGTAAAAGTGACCAGATATTGATGACATTTTTGACGATTTCTTATCTTCAAAACACAGATTGGAATAGAAGCAGATGGTTCCCATGAGGCTATATTTTAGTTAGTATTCCAAACCAACTTTTTACCAGCCAAAAATAGTTTTATGGTATCAGAGCTAATGACTTTTTGTGAAAATGTAAACCTGATACAATTGTCAGGGTTTCTAAGGAAGGACTTAGAAGCTCTGTAAGGAATACCATTCATGCTTTCTAGTTCAACATCCCAAGTTCACGTGTGTAAATATGTAGTTGACTACCACCTCTGATTTAAACCTGGTTGACAGATGTGGTAAAACATTATAACGATGTTGTAGATAATTATCTGCACAATGAAAAAATAATTTAGTGGCATATACTGAAAGCATTTTTATCACAAACTGATAATCAGTAAACAGAGAGACAAATCATGGATCAGGGACTTCATGTTGACTAAATCATAATGAAATTCCTCATGGTAGTATTTCTGCAGTTGTGGTTATTGAATGGTTAGTCGTTGTTGGCAGTCTTTTCTGTATGTTTGGCTTACATGATATGATATATTAATTGATAATGTCCTATGTTTTGTTTGTGGCACAGGTTGATGATGCTTTTGTGGTAACTAATTTGTCTCGTGAAAAACAGGAATTACTTCTCATTGGATTATTCCAAGTGTTTTTACTGAGACAAATAGGAATGGATGAGTTTGATAACCTGTATTGAAAGTTGGACTCTCAGTTTGTAATATTACATGGGTAATTGCTCTAAACTTACTTCCTTTTCTTTGTGAGGACAGGGGAGGAAGATTAGTAATTAAGAGAGTAGTATTACATTAGACTAAGCAAGCCAAAAACCTGAAAATTTGCAGAGCCAGGGATATGGTAATGAAAACTTAGTTATATATGTATAACTTAAATTTTTTTAGAGGGGCAGTAGTTGATAAGACATATGACTGTTTAATGGAAGGAATACAAATTAATAAAAGATCATTATTTGATACAAAAGGGAAATCCAAGGGTTATTATTAATTCACCAGTGAAATATTAATGCCTGATAAACACACTAAAATGTTCAGCCTCTGAAGGTAGTTATAAAGAAAAATTAAAACAACAGTTATGTATTGTGTTCTATCAAATAGGCCTATTTTTAAAAAAAGGTAACAGTCCTATGCTGAGATTCAGAGAAATTGGCACTCTTCATCCACTTGAATAGTAATAGAAATTATGGGTAAATCCTTAAAAATTCCATTTCTAGGAATTTATACTAAAAATAAGTCCTTTGTGAAAAGATCAAGCTATAAGGTTCCTAGGTACTGATGGAGTAGATGATGAGAATTTTAAAAAGTTTAAGGGCAGATGATGATGATTTCCATTAAAAAAAAAAAAAGACCCAGAGGTGCTGTATACTGATGTCTTCTTCTTAGACCGTAAGCTCCCAGAAGGTAAAGGCTGTGTCTCACTGACCACTCTGACATCAACACTCAGCGTTAATACTGAAACAGATATTTATTGAATGGATGAGTGAATTTGTCTCTGTGATTCCTTCAGAAATTCATATCAGCATCTTTTAGAATAATTCAATAGTTCAGAGTATGTATAGGTAAAGAAGAAAAAGAAGACTTTTGGAAATCTAAGGTGGCCCTAAGCAGTTTAGGAATTTTATTATTTTAAATAAAAGCAGAAATTTTAGAATAAATTTACACTAAGCCTTTGACACTCTAAGCTTAGTCTTTAAACCAAAAATATTAGACTTTGTTTTTGTATCTCTCATGCCATTATTATCTTTATCTGGATTTCTCTTATCTTTTAAAGGCTAAACTTTGACCATTGATTTTCTAAGAATCTTACTTAATGTCATCATTTTGATGACCTTAGTTTGGAAAGTTTTATTCCATTCAAGATTTATTAGCATATTACTTCCATAGCAACATGAAAAGTTTTGAAATTATTCCAGTTCATGTATAAAGGGTGAAAAGGAGTAAACATCTGGAAGGAGAGCTACAGAGCATTTTAGAATATCTGTCTGTGCTGAGTATAATGCCATTCTTATAAAATTATTTCCATCTTTCTATCCATCTGTCAATCCTTTATTGGTGATAGATGCGTGGGCATATGTTTGGACTGATGGTACCAATGTTAATATCAGTATCTCTAATAAAGGTACTAATAGATACTTGTATCTCTAATATCCTAATAATAGGATTTGGAAAGGTGTTTGAATTGTTTCTTTTTTTGGTGGCTATCCGAATTGTAATTTTAAAATACGTAATTACTTATCTTTAAAGTTGCCTCATCTTATTTTTTTCAGACTGTACTTAAGCTTGCTTAGCTAAGTAAAGGGGAAAAGATTTTTTTCCCTTGAGTTTATTTTATTTTTTTGGAAGCACAGCACTAGGTTTTCCAAGTTAATGTTTACCAAGTGAGAACTCCCCATGACCGTGCCAGTGTAACATCTTAATCATTCTGTTTTATTGCAAGTCACCTGTCTTCACTGACCATTAAATAAATATCCTATTTTTACTTT